CGGGAGTGAGAGGTTACCGCTGGTAGGACAAGTGAACGAGTGTTATTATCCAATGTCAAGATGACTTACACCCAGAAACCGACCACGCTTCCGATACTCAGCATTCGACCTGCCCAGGCATTCCCCCTTTCTTGCTGGGAACTAGGAAGCGTGTCTACGAGCAAAGCCCTATCCGCGGCTTGGACTAAGGAAAAAGACGTTAAGGTGGGCTGCTCGGCGTTCTTCAAGATATCCACCAACCAGCATTGATCGAAAAGTCTATGCAATAGATAGCCAGGACGGCCAACCATATGGTCAATGTGGCGTTCTATTTGTAAAAACCATCGGGATTAGCAACGGCTTAGCCTAGTATAGGGATGTGAGGTAGAATAGCTTACAGCTGATGATTCCCGATCCAAGAACCAACTAGCGACATCTTTTGTGAATCCTAGTAGCAGCATGGCTATAACACAAAGTACTGATCCATATAAGATATAAGGTCGTCGTCTCCCGAAACGAGAAGTCGAGTTGTCGGCAAGTACGCCTGCAATAAACCGTTCAGCTCTTACCCGATATATGAAAGTTATTGAAGAAAGGGTTGTGAGTTCAACGAACCTATTAGCGGCTGCACTAATAAACCAGACAACGGCCCTGCCACGAACACCATGGACATGAGAGACTTGGACAGGCCAAGGGATATGAGATATGGGGAGGCTAGAGAAGGGAGGGGCATGAATTTAGCTCGGAATAAAACAGATTTCCATGAGAGGGCTCACCATAACCCATCTCCGTACTCCAGACAATCTGAGCACCGAGCAGTCCAATGGTAAGAAGCGGCATCTTTGCCCAAGGTGAGCCTGGGTGAAAAATAAAGGACATAGGTAAGCGTTGGTGAACAGAGACCTCATAAATGGGTAGGTTGCCTATGAGAATGAGATGCCAGCTGACCTTTGACTCCTTTCCTTCCTTTCCACCACCTAGATTGGGCTTCGTTCATCTCATCGTCATCATTTCCTACATGTACTCCTCCAAATCCAACCATTATAGGGATATTTTAATTCAAGTCGTGCCAATTGGTACGTGTCGTGGTGTACCGCCTTACTGGTACGTGTGACGTTGAAAAAATGAGCGCCGTAGCTTGGCTAGGAATACTTGAGTGGATAGAACGAAATGATTTTGTTCGTGTTTTGAAGTGGTTGGTGAAGGATACGAGATCCAAGGTGGAAGGTCGGGAAGCAAGATAATCACCGTCGACCAGTATTTTGTGGAGTGCGCAACTTGAACCTCGACCCGCAGCGGCGGCTACACCTCTGCAACGACCTCGGCGAATATTGGGAGCATTTACGAATAGAAAGCCACCAGTAACCCTTCAGAGATACACTAGAAACCCCTCAGTTCAGCCATGATAAGTGGCGTAGTTCATTCTAGATCATTTGTTCAATTCATGTACTATTACAAGCTAATTGTATACACCCTCAACTTCACCAGAATGTCCTTCCTCGCTCATCTAAGGAGACAATGGACCCTTCTCGTAGGTGGTCACTTTGATCTCGTCCACCGCTCCTGCAATATATGGCCACGTATGGGCGACGAGCCGTACCGAGTGTGATCCCCACTTCGTGGTTAGCTCAACGTCATCGTTCTTTGGCATCTCTAAATAATATTGGAGGAGCTTGAGTGTCTCCTACATGGCCGGTTCAGCTTCGTCCAACTGCGACATTGGAATGGGGTGTACACCGACTCACCTCGATGGTTTTGGTGTGGGGTAACAGGATCTTGTCCGAGTTATAGGTGTAGAGGATGAGGGGGTAAGTGGGCTCTTTTGTGTGTTTGCTCGATGACATGCTTGGGACGACGGCTGAAAGCTTTGTCACGTTCAAGTTCGCTAGAAAGCTCGTGAGCAAAATGGCACATTGAGAATTGGACGCAGATGGATAGCTATGGACGTACTGGTGATGCTGCGTAGTGGCTCCAGCTTGGCTTAGAGTCTTTCGACTGGTTGAGGTGAGATATCCGCCAACGATCTGTTTTTATGCATCTTTATAACCTTCACCCATGATTAGGCAGCACAGCTCTTCTAAAAGTGAACACCACTCGTCGGGCGGGAGAACACGTGCAGTGAGGCTGTCTAGATGGCTTTACCAACGAGTCCTCCACGCTCATGCAGTACACTCTCGAAATCTCAATGAATGCAAGTGCATGTTCCAGTTATGCAGATTATCATCTACTCGGCTATCCGACTCATGCGCCGCACAGAGGCTATCCAAATTTTCGAGTCTTTGCCTTTATAGGTATCGTGCACAGGACTAGCACTTTATGTTCAAAGTATATATATAATACAGTGAATTCCATCCCCTTCCTCCGTATAAAATTAGCGTTACACTGAAGATAG